AAAAAATATTATTATTATTTTCTACTTACTGCATTTGATCTCCACCACTTATCTTTTACATAAAAGGATGTTGTCTTAGTAAATTGTAGAAGGTTTACACGGATAACAACACCTATCAAATAAATTTTAAACATAAAGCTCACAAATTGAAGGAAAGCTAGGTATTTAATTATAAATGAATATTCTTTTAATTTGTGAGATTTAGGTCTAAAATTTTTTTAGTGGGTTTATTTAGTTCTCAGCTATAATTTTATTTAGTAACATTTTTGATGTTTATTAATGAAAAAAAAGTAAAAATGATCGATTTTTTCTTTTTTTATCAAAAATCACCCAAAAATTGTTTCAAAATCAGATGGCTGATTTGCAAATCACCACCTGATTTTCAGGCAATTTGAAGATCGGACAGCTGATTTTTGATCATTCGACCAGCATTATAAATGACATAACTCTTCATATTCTTCCATTTTTTAAGAAACTCTTTTCTATAATCTATAACATCTTGTCTTTCATAACTATCAAAATAAATACCCTTCTTTTTAGATTGAGGTTTAAGTCCAAGTTTTCATAACCAAATACATTCCATATTAATTGAAATAGATTTTGCAATGCACTAAAACTCATTTGAGGAATTAGCTTTGTTTGAATAAATGTTTGATATTCTTTAGATATAGTTTTTCCACCATTTTCATGTATACTGTATATTCCATACTTGCATTAATAACATCTTCATCATCAATTAATATCAATTAATGATTTAGCTTAGATGACATCCTTGTAAAAAAATAGGTAGAGTACCATTTTGTAACCAGAAGTTTCCTTGTTCCCAAATTTTAGTTACACACCAAGAACCTTTTTATATATTTCTCTAGCTGATTTTATACTTGCATCAATTTTTTAAATTATCTTTTTTCCAATAAACAAAATATAAATGCATGGCATGATAATGAAGATAATCATATGCAGTCTGTTTTTTTATTCTAAAAGTTTTAATTTTTGTTTAAGATTTTTATTTTCACTTTTGTCATTATTATCACTGTTATTATCACCTTTGCCATCATTATCCATATAATTATCTTTTTCTTTATCATTTTCGCCTCCATCATTACCATCATCATCACCATCATCATTATTATCATCTTCACCTCTATCATTACCATCACCATTATTATCATCTTCGCCTCCATCATCACTATCATCATTATTATCATGTTCACCTCCATCATCACTATTATCATTATTGTCATCTTCGCCTCCTTCATTACTATCTTCACCTCCATCATCACCATCATCTTTGTCTTCAAAATTATCATTATCTTCACCTTTATTATCATCACAATTTTCAGTATTTTCATCGTTTAAAAAAAATCTGTAATTGATAAAGATGAATTTCTGCTTTTTAAAAGAACCTGAAGGACCTATTTTTCGATATTTTGTACTTTTCCTGTATAGGCTGCATGTTTCTTTGACATTTTAGCTGTTTTAGTCCAGTCCATATTAATTTGACAGGAAGAAATGAATTTGACTTTTCAATTAATTGTATTTCATTTTCAGACTCTGAAGAAAAACAGCATCTGAAGGAATATAATTTGAATCTGTATTAAGTGAAAATTTTTCCGTTATATTATCACGCTTTTGTTTTAAAAGACGAGTTTTACTACTTGTGAAATAAGGTAATATTAATAATCTAGGGAATGAGTACAAGAGAGAGTGTGTGTATATATTCGTGTGTTGTGTATTCGTGTTGGGTGTGTTCAGGTGTATGTGTGTTTGTGTGTATATAACAGTATAAAAAAAAAAAATTTTCTTTCGCCAAAAAAAAATTCGCCAAAGATCTATGCGATCACCTGATCCCTTCATGAAATTTAATTGGCTTAAAATCACATGTAAGCCTGTTCGAAATTGGGAAAAAACGATTATTTGCTTAATCGATTCTTTTTAATCTCAGGAATCCGAAAATACAATTTTTTAAAAAAATTGTAAAGGTTTTATTGGTTAAATTTAAGAAAATCAAATTTTTGGTTATAGACTAGGCGCACTGTAGTAAAAAAGTAAAAAAAAAGAAATTCAAGTTTTAATATTTATTTTAAAAAAAAAATCTATATGAATTGCATCTTTTAATTTCCGAATTCAGAGCATCATGCGTATGTGTTACTGTTAAGCGATTTTTCATATGCTACGATAATCAATGATCGACTTTGTATTTGGATCATTTGATAATACATGTTTACAATACAATATTTCAAATTAGTGTAAATAAAGACAATAAATTAAGAATTTGTTTATTCACATGATTACCCTACTTTAAGACGGATTACACTTCCAGACAGCAAATGAATCTTAAAAGAATAATTTTTCTATTTAGAAATTTTTAATAGCAAGATAGATAATGAATGTTCATTTAAAGTTATTTCACCCAGATATATGCACTGTGTATGTGTTACTGTCAACGTTTTTTCATAAATAAAAAAAAACTCCGAGAAGAAAAGATTTTTTTTTTAAAAATCATTCCATAATTCAAAAATCCTATTATTTCAAGTATTAAAAAGATGTATTTCTCATTTGAATTCATTTTTTACTTTATTTTTTCAATTAATTCGATTTTATGCTATGACCCACCTGGAAGAAGTTATCATAATAGTGTAATAATCAATGATCGACTCTTAATTTTGGCCGGATGGAAAAATCAAAGTTCATATACGTACGAATTATTCTATTTAAATTTATCAAAGTCATTCGATAATACAGACTTATCATGGACTTTGATTCCTGATGGAGATCTTCCTATTTATACTTGGTCTTCAACTGCTATTGTTAGTTTAGATAATTCTAAAATATTTCTAATTGGCGGCTATATAAAAAATAAAGATACACTCGAAATTGATTTTTCAAACCAAGTTTATAAATATAATTATAATTCTTCCAAATGGACCATACCATCAATCACTGGTAATAGTATTCCTCCTAGGCAGCAAATGAGTGGAGTAATCGACAATTCAGGAATTATATATATTTTCGGTGGAATTAATGTCACTAATATAACAGCAGCTACTGGAACAGCATACAATGATATGAATACATTGGATACTTCTTCAATGACTTGGAGAACTCTAAACATATCTGAAAATCTTCCTTTATTAAATTGTGATTATTCAGCTAGTCTTTTACCAAATGGAGTTATTGTTTATTTTGGTGGACAAGAAGGTATTAATGGAATTCTTGCAAACATGAAAAGTGTAAGTAATTTAAATATGAACTAATTAATTATTTAAATTAATTCATGAATGTTAATATATTATTATCAAATAGATTAAACTCTTTGATACAAAGAAACTTGAATGGTCATATATGGTATGTATTGATATTAATCTATAAAAAAATAAATGTAAATATAACAACTTATAAATTATATTTAACTCTAAGAATGCCACTGGTGATGAGGTTGATCCAAGACGGGTGTTTTCTTCTGTGTTAAGTAAGTATCCAAATTATTTATTATTTATGAAACATAAAAATTTATATTAAATTAAATATTTTTTATATAGCACCAGATGGATATATTATTATATTTGGGGGTTGTACAAAAATTTATACTAGTGTTAGCCCAAACCTTGCTGTATTAGATACAAACAAATCTCCGTATGAATGGTCTATTCCAAGTAGTTCCAAAATCAATTCTCCACCATTTATTTATGGTCATTCTGCAAATTTATATTTTGAATATATGATAGTTACATTTGGTAAGTAAATATGATTTAATAATTATTTTCTACATATTAATTTTATTTATTTATTTTTATAGGATATAACGCAGATGATCTAATATATAATACTCAAGTATTTCTTTATAACATCACAAGCAACAAATGGGTTACAAGTTTTAATCCTCCTCCTCCTGTTCCTGCCACTATAAGTCCAACTGCAACTGCAAATACTCTAACTACACTTCCAAGTACTTCAATTACACCTACAAATAAATCATCAAAAGGTATAGCAATTGGACTTGGATTAGGGTTAAGTGTAGTAGTTGTGATGTCTGGTATTTTTATTGTAATTTTTATTTTGCGTAAAAAAAAGGAAAAAGAAATTAAAATTCCAGGAATTCTTGAAATATCCGGAGATCGTGAATATCAATAATTTCTCATTGAAATTCACATATTCAATTAAAAATATACTTATATACGACCTGCATCTTTTAAATTACATTTTTCACATTATGAACATTTTATTAATGCAATCAAATTTAAAAAGAAGCAATTGTTTATAATCAAAAATTGACCAAGATAAATGCACTGCACCATATGTGCTACTTTTGAAGTGATATTTTCATATATAAATGGACGAAGAAATTTTTTATAAAATCAAAAGAAAATCTTATTAAATCTTATTGTTTCAAAGTAGTAAATAATTAAATTTTTTTTTGCACTATTTTTTTAAAAATTAATGGTCAGATTCATTTGACAATGATCTAAAAAAATAATAAATTATGTGTTATATTTTATATTATTATTCATTTTTAAATTAATTATTTTAAGGCATGAGATGAATATTTTAAACAAAAAAATTGAATACACTCCCTCAAATATTTTCAAGCTCTTTACTACAACATTTTCTAGAAATTATACTTTATTTATTAAAATCAAATCAATAATCATCGTAGTGATGATGATGATATGGTCATTGTGAGGGAGCGGGTTTGAAGAGACGAATGAAGAATAAAGTAACCGAAACTTTCATAACTATCATTATGAGGTTTTTTGGTTTAAGATTTTAAGAATTGGAAATGACGGGTTTTTTCTTCCACATTTAATTTTCATAAAATTTTTTCGTTAACATTGATTAAATGAAAAAAATTGGTTGGGAGTTAAAGAAAATACATCATTTTCTAATTTACCATTTTGTTTAAGATCTTTACCTATTTTTGTCTTAGAAAAGCCCATTTGTAGATTGGGTGAGAAAATGGACATGTGTCAAGTAATAAAAAAAACTTTCAATTACTTAATAATATTTGGATGATCTTTAATATTTTGTTATTATTTCAATACTTCGGATTTCGTTTATTTTTATTAATATTACTTATTTGATTTCTTTCTTGGAATTGATGAATGGAATCATTATTTTTTTTTAATAAAATTAATTTTACAACAGTTATATTAAACAAACTATTCTATAGAGAAATAGTTTGGCGCAGATTATTGTATAAATTGATTTCATTTAAAAAATCCAAGTTATAGTCTTACAAAATAGTTTGGAGCAAAATATTGATAGAATTTTTGTACATTTGTTGTGTTCTCAATTTGGAATATTGAATTTTTTAAATTTGCGGAGGCATGAAAAATTGCAATCTTAATTCTTCAATTATAATTTGAATTTTAGATTTAAAAATTAAATTTTGATCAAATAAATTAGGTTTAAATTTATTTTTATATATTGATTATTTTCAAAAATATTCTTTATTTATTAAAAAGTATTACTCTGCATTAATTCCTTCAATTTTACTACTTTACCTTTTTTTATTTTCATTTAATTCTAAATTAAGTATTTCTTCAATACCGCTCATTTTTTTTGTTATTGGCACTGTCATTTAAAGTCATAATTATGCAAATAAAATGAAAAAAGCAAATAATTATAATTTTTTTTTTAAGAGAAAATGTCAGTTAAGATCTAACATTTTCCACCATTGATTTAGATTTAGATGAAATTAGTCGGCAAATATCTTTAATTCGACCTGATTAATTATTCTTTTAATTAAAATTCATGAATTTTATAAATTGCAAAAGGAATTTAAATTTTAAAAATCATTCTAAAAAATGACATTTGTGTTTTTGAAAAGGCTATCCTCTGACCTTAATGGTATAATGTTATTATTGGAATTGATCAAGAACAAAAAAAAAACTTCATTGCAAACCGTACTTGGCATCATTTGTCTTACTTTAATAAAGAATAACAAATAATGAAAACAACAAAATCGATTATTCTTAAATAAGGCTTATTGATTAAGTCAAATGCATTGAAAAAGTATTTGTAAATATATATTAAATTAAATAATTCCTCTAAAAATAATTGTCCAACAACAACAATAACATCATCATCATCATCACCTTCACCTTCAAATAATAATTGTATAAATAATAACAATAATAATAGCAATAATAATAATAATAACAATTGTGCAAATCATCCCTTCGTATCATCACTTACTCAACATTGGTAAACATATAGAACAATTCATCAGCCACGAAAAAATATCAAAGAATTTATTTTCCATTAAGTGATTTAAATTAATATTATCAGATCCTATACTTCATTATCCTAAAGGATCAGTGTTGATGTCATGTATATAGTGATGAAATAATAATAACAAGAAAAATAGTTAATGGCATAATTGTATAAATAATAATCACAATAATTATAGCACATCAATAGAAAAGAAAGGAAAATTAACAACATTAACATCAACTACTTCTTTCTCTTTAACAGCAACTACAACAAGAATACAACAGAATTTTGTTAGAACTAATTTGATTTATAGTAAAGCTTTGGTGTTGCGAACAACCGTAATTTTCCGACCAAAAGCCCTGGATATATGTTTATCTGCTAATGGATTATCCGCGGACTTAGAACGGATGCGGATGAAAAATCTGGGTCCTTTTTACTCACCTCCCAAAAACTTGAATTGTACCCGGGGAATATTTTGTACGGGGAGGATACTTTGTTTAGATTGGTTAAAAGTAATTATAATAATAGAATACCTATATATTGTACCCGGATACATTTCATAGGGGGATTTTTCCCTAGGGCACTTTGGTCGGCAAAATTACGGTATTTGATTTATTGCAAAGCTTCAGTGTTGACTAGAAAGAAAATAAATTAATTAGAAAAAATAAAAATTAATTAGAAAGGTTGTTTGAGTTGAAAGTTACGAATGAAATGATTGGTCAGAGCTAGGAATCCAAACATATTGCTGTATCATAACTTAGAGTTATGACATCTAGACATCTATATGTCAACTATAAATGCCGTATGGTCAGATGTTGTACTTATGATCATGTGTCGCAACTATAGACATGTGCCATAACTATGGCTACACGCCGTAACGTAACCATTATTATATAAAAATTATTGAAAAGATTAATATTTAAACTTTTCTATTTTCCTTATAACACTTGTAAATTTAAATCAAATATTTTTATTTTAATTGTTAAGCATTATTATCAATAAAGCATTACCTAATACTTCATGATCATAATTAAGAAGTATTTACTTTATATTGTTTTCATTATTGGACCAGTATCATGTGTTGATTTATTTTCTTGACTACTATAATAAAATAAAATATTTTCGTCTGATCTCTCTTCTCTCACTTCTATTATATTCATATTGTAATATAAAAAATCGTAGTCGCGCGCAAAATTTTTAATGATTTAAAAGATTAAGACATATCTTACGGCACTCTTGAACATATGACACTTAATACAGCACGTTATATACAGTACATTGCCGTATTGCACTCACCCCTAGTCAGAGCAAAGTGCAATATTAAGTCACGAGTTAATGAGTCGATGAATGATCGTTAATAGTTTGAACGATTCAAGGACTGTGACTCGACTAGGTAGATAAAATGATTACTTGCATTTTTATATACTTTATCCAAAATATACAAATAAAAGATTTCTTATTCTTTATATTTATTTATTTGATTATTTTTTTTATTTTTTTTTCACAAATTCACTGAAAAAATATTGGAAAGGTTCTCCGAAACATTATACAATTCCATATTTATTGTTACCCAATTCCATATATTAGGTTTGCATAGGAAATAATAAAATTATACGATATGATATTTTAACCTACTCAAAAATAATTTTGAAAAATGAACAAATGAAAATGAAATAATTATAGATAAATTTATTCAAGATGCCCGACTAAATTCAAATCATTATGATATATTTGAATGGATACCTTATTATAGATTTTAAGATGGTAAACAATAAAAAAAAGGTGCTTACGGTACTATTTAATATGCTAAGTGGGTTAATGTAATTATTGGTGATTGGAATATTGAAATCAACAATGGAAAAGATGAGGTCAATTTGAAGAGGTATTAAAAAAGTTTGATGGTATTGTAGACATAAATAAAGATATTTTAATGAGGAAAATAATATTTTTAATAATATAATTACTATTGAAATTTATTTGAAAATATATAATATATTAATTTATAATTTAAAAATATGTTATTTAGGAAATAATTCTCTTTATAATTCCATAAAGTGTAGTTGATCATTTTTCTCAAGATCCAGAAACTCACGAATATATGATAGCATTTGAATATTTTAAAGTTGGAAGGCTTAGATATCGATTGGAGTAATAAATTAGAACATTTATTCAATTTAATTTATGAATTTTCTTGAATTAGATATAGTTCATCGTGATTTTCATCCAGAAATATTGTAAGCTATTGAGGTAGCACAAATGCCATGGGAACGCTGTACGAGGATTGTGGAAGGTTACGAATGTCACAAGAGATGGTAGCAAGATGACAGTGTTACCTGAGGATAAGTGTGCTACCATCTAAATGACAGATTCCTCATCCTTGTACAGCATCTTTTATCCTCATGTGTCATCCTCGGGGAAAAGGAGAAAACTTGTTTAAACGTGAAAACAAAAAGGAAAAGAGAATAAATTGGAAGGTATAAAATAACCAGTGAAAAAAAGGAGGAAGAGAGATTCCTCTTCTTGTGAAAAACTTTTAAATCATATAACTTTCTTACCTTAATAATGAATTTCTTAATAATTTTATCATAAATAATTTTGTAACAATCCAAATTTTTCATAATTATATATATTTTTTTTTAATAAATAATTTTCTAATAATTTTAGTAATAAAAAATACAAATAGTTTTGAAATAATCTTAATAATAATAAATAATTTTTGTAATAGTTTTTAATTTTAATAATAATAGTTTCATGTATTGGAATAGCAATAGGGATAAGATATGCCAACGCAGTAATATATCTCTATTGATCTATTCTTTTAATAAATTTTTAGTAAATATTTTAATAAACTTTTCTATATTTCTTGGTAAGTTACTCCAAAAGTCTTTTAAATTTTTGGCAGTGTACGAAGTATATTGTAAAGATACTTTTACTCCACTTGCTCATTGTACCTTCAGATATTACACATAATTGCATTGTTTGAGTGTTAGTAAGCAGGTTTAGATCAACTGATTACCTGTCTTACTGTGATATTGTATGCAAAAAATAGTGTGTTAATAATACATTGAATTATCATGTGATTGACCTAAATTTATTGAGACTAATTGACTTAAGTTTCCACTTGTTCTGCGCAGACCGCAACAGAATTTTGGTGCCTCCTGTGAGGTTGACAAAAAGTATCTTTCATTTCTTGATTAAAGTAAACCCATTACACAATTTATAGAAATCCTTAATATATAGAGCTAGAACTCAATTTAGAGATCCTCTTTAAATCAAAAACCTAAAGACTATTTGTACTTGAGAAGGAATCAAAGTAAAATAAAATTGCTACTAGAAATAGAACAAACTTTTAACTTTCAGCTTTTGACAAAAAATGGTGATCAAAACAGTTTTCAACATAGTAAAAATTTCATTAATCAACAGATTTACAGTGAAAGACAATCTGATAGAAATTTGTGTAACAAGATGAAAATACAAAAATTTAGAAATACTCTTCCTTTAATATTTTCAATAAACAACAGCTGATTTGTCAAATAAGAAAATAACCAAGTGAATAATCAAGGGAATAAGTTAGGTAGCTGAAGAAAATAAAACTAACACCTTGATAAGAGAACTGCAAGATGCCTTCTACATAAGGTATGATGCAAAGATACCATCATTCTACAGGGAAAATCAAGACCTGATGGAATGGCTAGAAAAATTTAACAGGTCCGCAGAAATAAACAAATACAATAATGAATACAAGTTTTATGTAGTTAGTGGATATCTACAAGAACTGACTGAACAATAGTTTAATGAAATCCAAGGAAGGCAAAATCCAATCACACACTGGAATAACTGAGACCATGTGTTATTTGAACTCTCTTTTCTGAATACCTTCAAAATCACTGCTCTAATAAATTAGTGGAGGTTTGAGTTACAAATAAAGGTACAAAAGTTAAACGAAACTATAGGACAATATGCTAATGATGTTAAAAAACTGATTAGAAAAATTGACAGTGAAAATTGGTGAAGTGAGGTTGAAAAGATCTGGTAATCTTAAAAGAACTGTGAAAGGATATCACTTATCAAATGTGACCATTTATACTATCACAAGAAAACCCTACAATTGAGATAACAGTTGGAATTGCAAGACAATTTGAGGAGAACGTGTAGATCTATTCAAGGCCACAGTTAAATATAGCGTTACTACAACATCAGGAAATTTTTTCTAGTGAAAACTTTCGAAAGTTAACGTTAACGTAAGTATTTCGCTATTTTTCGATATGTTATCTTTCGAAGGTTATCGATTTTGATATTTTCACGTGGCAAAATTTTGCGAATATTATCGTTTTCGTAGTAAATTTATATC